TTCCAGAACTGCAAGTAAGAAATTTGTGTTGGTCAAGCCTCTGAGTGTGGGGCAATTTGTTACATCAATCAGAGGAAACTACCACACAATCTAACCTGCAAGAATTACTCAAACATCAGCTCATTCTGAATCCATTTCCTGGCTCCTGCAGCTGAGTTTACTTCTGCCAATTTAATCTGTTTTCTTTTGAGCCTCTCTTATAGCATTTACTTACTCGCTGGTACAGTGTAGACACTGTCATTTTTCTTATTCTCTTTTAAAAGCAGTAGAAACCCAAATAAAACTAAAGCAAAAAGAGAATTTATTGAGTCATGTAAATGGAAAAGTCCAGGTATGGAAATTCAAGGAAACTTAGATGCAAGTGTTCAATGTTGTCAGGTGTCCGGTTCCATCTCTTGGCTCTGACTTCTGTGTTGGCTTCATTCCCAACTAGAAGTTCCCTTCACAGTAACTATTATGACCACCAGCAGTTCCAAGCACATACTCTATCTAGTTAGCAATTGTTGCGGAAACGCTTTTTTCCAATTGTTTCAACAAAAGTTTCAGGATTGAGTATTTTTGGCCTAGTCTGGGGCATGACCCCATCACTGGACCAATTCCTTGGTTAATGGAGTGGAATTGGCTCTGATAGGTCAGGCTTGAGTCAGAGTTAAGGTGATCAACTCATACCAATTTGCTTTATACTTTTCTAGTTTGCACATTAACAGTTCTGTGCCCCAGGAAATCAACCCCTCAGTCCAGGGCAAACCAGGACAGTTGGTCATCTTAGTTCACCCTGTGAACTAAAAGGAGTAGGAGAGGAGGGGAGTATGGTCAGCCCCATGTGACCCCCATAGACTAAGAGTGGGGTGGTTTCCCAGAGGAGCCGTCAGAAGAAGGAGGAAAGAATGTGGGCGGGAAAGAGCAACAGGGTAATGTCCTCTTCATTCGTTTTTCTAGATTAGAGACGCCTTGAAGGCAGAGACTGAATCTTGCTTTTGTATCTTTTGAAAATTTGAGCACATTGCTCTCCACATAGGAGAATCTAAAAAAAAATTATACAGATTCTTTCACAGCTTTATTCAATATCTGAACAAATTGTTTTACAGTAAAGAATGTCTAGCACTATACAGACATAGTGGATTATCTGGGGTTATCTTTAGAAGGAATATTTAAAAACATTTTGCAATCTTAATTTGATTGAGATTACTCAAATGTAAACTTACTGAAAATGGCGGAGGGGGAGAGTTTTAGCTAAACTTCCTTCCTTCCTTCCTTCCTTCCTTCCTTCCTTCCTTCCTTCCTTCCTTCCTTCCTTCCTTCCTTTTTTGAGTAGGAGTCTCACTCTGTCACCCAGGTTGGATTGCAATGTCACAATCAAGGACACTGCAGCCTCAATCTGCTGGGCTCAGGTGATTCTTCCACCTCAGTCTTCCAAGTAGCTGGAACCACAGGTGCATGCCACCACGCCCAGCTAATTTTGTTGTTAATTTATTGTAGAGACTCCATCTCACCAAGTTTTCCAGGCTGGTCTCGAACCCCTGGGCTCAGGCAATCCTCTTGCCTCAGGCCCCAAAGTGTTGGAATTACAGTCATGAGCCACCATGTCTGGCTAAATGTACTTTCAAAATCACTAAAGTACTATACATCATAAAGTCCTTTCCCCATCTTTACTTAAGATAAAACCTTTATCATATTTTCTTTAACATCTAGTATATCTAGTATATATTAAAAAGTGAACCTTAAAATACCCTCCTAGTGATTTGAAATTTGATTTTCTAGTTTTCATTGTTTTGCTTAATTAGAGCTGTGCATAGACAGGAATTGTTTGTCTTTGGGAAGGGTGTGGTTTTGCTCTGAAATCATTTTCCTGTAACTTCTAACTCCCAACCTACTCCTGCCAGCAATGTGTTATGCATCACAATTAGCAGTTTAAAAGATAAATAATTTAATAGAGAACTATAATTTTGAAAATGGGATAAGATTTTTAAAATATGTTGTGTTAATGAATAAATGCTAAATCTTGAGTTTAGTTCATGGGGAAAAAGAAACAAACTACCCCTGACATGCTGTTTTCAAATCTGACATTGCCCGTGGAAGCAAAGACTCTAGTTGTAGTTAGTTATTGTGAATTTTTTATGTTGTTGATACATAATATTTGTACATACTTATGGGGCACATGTGAGTATTTGTATATGTATACAATGTGTAATAATCAAGCCAGGGTATTTTGAGTATCTATCACCTTGAGTATTTATCATTTCTCTGGATTGGCTACATTTCAAGCCCTCTCTTCTAGCTATTTTAAAATATATTTTACATTGTTGTTAACTATAGTCACCCTACTCTGCTATCAAACATTAGAACATATTCCCCTATCTAATTGTATATTTGCCAAGTCAGTTCTCACTGTTCTTTAATTTATAATGAAAGGACATTAAAAATAAATGTTACTATTTTACCTACCTAAATATTTATTTCTAAAAATCACATTGGAAATAAAGAAGTTGCTACTGTTATGTTTTCTTTTATTATCATTAAATTCTTAGCATGACACTATAGTGGGTTTTGTCGTGGACTTCCACCTCATTCCCACTGAGGAAAAAAAAAAACCAAAATGAGCAGTTTGAGAGAAACCTCACTTCAAAGTGTGGACTGAATTGGTCTACTGATAATTCCATATTATTTACTCATTTAGGTTTGGGCATATGACAGAATGTTGGCCAAACGGGTTGAAGGAGATGGTTGCTGAGGCTTCTGAGAAAGAGAAGAAACGTGGAAGTCAATTCTATCACTCAGTAGAAGTGAATCATACAGTTCCTGTTGTTACTGGTAGTTACCTTTACCATCAAAGGAAACAGAAATCAACTCTGTTAAAAGCCAAGTGAAAACTTAGAAAGAATTCGGTATTTGATGACGTTGTGTTGCTAATTCAACTAGTCCTGAAATCTGCCCTACCTCTGGACTTTTTGTTCCACAAGATGATAAACATCATTATTTAATCCCATCTGAAAAAGGACTTCAGTTGTGGTTGAAATGGTAAATATATGGGGGATAGCAAAAGTTTGGTGCTAAAGGTCCTTCTATGATCTTATGTGTCATTTTGTTCCTCTGTTCTTGACCAATCTATCTTATAAAAAAGGGGTCCAGACTACACGGGATTCCATAATCTGACTCAGTCACATAGGGAGCAGCAGTGGAAAAAGGAAGCTGCTGTCTTCACCACATATCTGACCTATGGGGCAGTAAACTTTAAGGAACTACGCACCTAGTCAATGAACTAACAGAATATGCATAATCATATCCCTCAAATGCCATAAAACTTAAGTTCTGCTAAATTGGGCATTGCATAAATTCCTCCAGAACTGGATCCTGACTCTTGTTTAAGCCGGGGTACATTTTTCTGGTCATAATGATTAAAATCACTATCACTTATTATGTGTCAGATACTGTGCTGAGTACTTTACTTGCTTTATCTCATTTGACAATAACCCTAAGAGGTTGTTACTGTAACAAGACTCGTTTTATAGATGAGGAAATGAAAGCTCAAATAGGTTGAGACACTGGACCACGAAGTATTCAAATTCAAGTCTGATTCTATGCACTGGGTTACATCCCTTCCAGTTCTGACAGCCTATAAGTCTAAGATGGGCCAATTGATTAAGGCATAGTCCAGCCTCTGAGGTTTGAAATTGGGGTTCATTTTTCAAGGCACAAACTAATAATCAGCAGAATATATCTAGCCCCAAATTATCTCCATAGCTGCTTCTAGATTCTTGTTCATGGTTATACTCTACATCTCAGACCAATGGGACCAACCTCAGACTTTGATATGTAAGGTCCACGATTGCAATTTACTAATCCAATTACCAAATCTTTAACATTTGAGGATATTACCTGTGAATGATACTTCACTTAACTGTACTTTTAGCCCCACTGGAGATGGCAGTAGTGAACAAGAAAGAAAATAGCCTCCTGGAACTTACATTTTTAACAGGAGGGATAATGAACCGGGAGTATCTTAAAACGTTCTATTAAATCCAATAATGATTTAGTGAGTACTTTATGCCAGGTTCTGGGTTTGGCACCGCAGACACAAAGCAGGAAAAAGACACTATCCTTTCCTTGCCAAGTGTGCCTGGACAACTTGAGTGTTAACGAATAAATCTACTTCTGTTTGGTAAATTCTCTTTCTGCTAGAAAATGTAGTTACATCATTCGACTGTTTGACTAGCCTTCCATTTTAAAGGCAGGCCCACAGATCCCACATACACATCTGTCAGGAGAAAGTGCCCATTTTTCAGCTGTAACAACCCATTACAAGTTTCCTACCGTAGAGATTGTGTTTATTTTAATCTCGCTTGTAAACTGCCTAGTACCCAACTTCTCAGGTAAAGGTACTCCCTTCTCCACTAAGATGACAGACAGCTATGTTAGATCCGTGTTGTTTTAATCCCAATTCACTGGGTCTGGCTGAAGCTTCTCTAGATTTGTGCTGGACCTTGGTGCAGCCGAAGTCACGTTCTCCGCGGCCACCGAGCCGCCAGGTGCACAATAACTTAGGGGGTGGCAGCAGACCAGCGACTTGGCAGTTGCCTGTGGCCTTTCCGGGACTCGCTAGTTTTTTAGGTCCCTTGAAGGGCAGCCAGACCTAGAATGATAAGAAAGGGGCGTGGTGGGAGAAAGGAACCCACCTCTCGTCCTAGGTTCATTCGACCTCGCCAAGGCACCTGTCCAACCAATCGGAGAGGGAGTTACATTCAACGCTGGTTCCGGCATCCAATCCACGAGCGTGTCTCAGACTCTGCGGCCCGGGTCCAGCCCTCCAGGCGGCTGCGCACACTCGCAGCGCCCCCAGCAGCGCAGATCTCCAGGAGGTTGCGGCCGTGCCCCGCGGCTTGGGCGCAGGCTACTGCGCACGCGCCTCAGGAAGCGCTCTGCCTCGCAACTTACCAGCCTGCTGCCTCTTACCCCCGAGTGCCCGTGGGTGCTGGGTTCCGCGAGCGCCGGGTTCCGCACGCTGGGAAGAAGCGGCAGCGGGTGAGTAAGAGCCTCTCGCGCTCGGCGTGCTGGAGGGAAATAGTATCCCCTCTCCAGTCCACAGGAGCTTTGAAATTAGACAAGGTGAGACCCTCTTGCCCTCTCTCCCCCATTACATACACATCCCCTGGGGCGCTGGCGGGGAAGTTCACGAAGGGACCCGAGGAAGCAGGGAGGGCGTGGGCCCAGGGGGAGGCGGAGGCCGGGAAGAGGGAAGAAAATTTAGCAGGTGGCTGTGGAATGGGGGGAGTGAGCCTTGGAGTTCAGGGTGACGGGAGGGAAGTTGGCTGGAGGGGGCGAATGTGGGTCTGGGATGGAAGGGGAGACGGGGCGGGGCGGACTGTCCATGCATCTCCCTGAATATTCGATTCGAGCTTGTGTCCATCATTTATGATTATGCTTAAAAACTAATTTCCTAGAAAACAAACCGAGCAATAAGAGATACTTATGGGCCGGATACTGTGTTAAGCACTTTACAGACAACCCTTCCTTTTCTTGTCACAGCAACCCTATGAAATAACAGCATCCCTTTTAACAGGTGAGGAGTCAAGGTCGGAGAAGTGAAGGGACATCTAACCAAGATTGTACAACTAGTGACAAGCAGATTCAGGATTACTTACAGGGTCTGACTTCAGAAGGGCTTCACTTAATAATCATCAAGTGATCTGATGGCGCTAAGTCTGAAGATTTGCCAAGTACTATAGGGAATGAACTGCTGGTTTTGGTATTATGGTTTTCTTTTCTATTTTTTCAGAGATTGTTTCGATCTATTTTAAGGAAATCAAGAGCTTCCCCCACCTCCCCTTGCACTTAAATTAGTTACAAAATATAATTTGGAATACATTTTTATGAAAACACTAGGAGTAATTGGGGGTAAGGTAGTTTACTATGTAGAAAGTAAGATAACTGTTTTAAAGATGCTAGAAAATTTTGTGTACACTGGAACATTGGAGAATAATTTAGAATCCTGGGATTTTTAAGACCATAAAAGTTTTTTAGGGAGTAGTTGTATTTCTTTCCTTCAACTACTAGGAAAGTAACTAATAATCACCTAAAGGTAACTGCCTAAATTGTCTATGGGCTTAGACAGTAAGACTATTTTAAAGCTGTATAAGAGTTCCATTGTTTTACAGAACACATGGCATACTAATGGTGATAGATATCTTTCACCATATACTGTAACTGTTGTACTTTCTCAATTTCACATGAGCTAAGAACACCAGTGAGAGCTGACTGACGTGCATTCCATTCTGGCAGTGCATCCCAGAGAGCTAGAGGGTATTTTGTTCCCTGAATTGAAAATTCCCTCATTCTTCTGCTTCTCTTTCTTCACTGTCTTTCTGGTGTGAAAAATTACAAAATTTCTCAATATTTCATAATACAATAATTTTGTTCCCTGACAACTTGATTTACATTTCTTGAGAACTTCTCACTGGTGCTTATACTTTAACACACCCTTTAGAAGGAAACAGAACGTGGTAGACATGGATCCAGCACTGCTAATGTACTTTTTTGTCAGGAAAAGTTCTAACAGTTTGGAGGTTATTACCAGAATCGATAACTTGCTGTTGCTACACTTGTAAACATGTTGAGGATATGAAATAAGTAAGAGGACAGTAAAGCTACTAATCCCTTTCTGAGCTCAGCCAGTCACTGAACTTGAGCTTCATCACAGGTAAAAAGAGGAGATTAAAATAAATTATTCCTAATGTATTTCATAGTTTCACAATAATATTCTGCCCATCATAGTGCAAACTTTTTTTCTTCTAACATAACAGCTTTGTAACTTGAATGGATAAAGGGAAAATAATACTGAAGGCCTGTTCTGTAATCTTTTTGCATCCCCATTTTACACACAAGGAACTGAAGTTTGGATAAGTTCAATCTACCCAAGATCACCCATCTTCTGAATTTTTGCTCAGGTTCTGGGGTCCTTCTGACTTGAGTATATAGTGTTTCCACTACTGCTGAGCCTGAGGACAAGGACTGGAACACTTGGATCCTGGCAGTGCTAAGGATTAACAACACATGCTCCTTGAGCATCCTTTCCACTCGAGATCTGAGGAAGAAAGATTTTGATTTTGATTTTGTGGGAAAGGACAGACACAGGTTTTTGTTCTATTCTTTTACATATGGGAAGTGGTATAAGACATTGTCACATTAAAACCCTCAAGTTTGTAATATGGAGTATAAAATTCACACCATTTTGAGATATCAAAGATGTTTCCTGTTTTGTGGCAGCTCATTTAGGAGTATTATTTCACTTATCTATGCTCTTTTTAAAAAATTTTATTGAATATAAATTATATACCATTCAGTTCACTCATTTAAAGTACACAGGATGGATTTCTGCACCTGTTACCACAACCAGCTTGAAAACATTTTCATCAACCCAAAAAGTAACCTCGTACTGACTGGCATTTACTACCCGTTTTTTTCCCAACCTATATGACTACTAATAGATTTGCCTGTTTGAAGCATTTCATCTAAATGGAATCACACAATAAGTGATCTTTGTGATTGCCTTCTTTCCCTTAGCATAATGTTTCAAGGTTTTTCTAAATTGTTGCATGTATCAGTACTTAATTCCTTTTCATTGGAGATTCACATAATCTCCTATTATGTGAATATACCATGTTTATTCATTCATGTATTACTTGGTGGACATTTGAGTTGCTTCCACTTCTTGACTCTTACAAATAATGCTACTGTGAACATTTGTGTACAAGTTTTTGTATGGACATATGCTTTCATTTCTCTTGAGCATGTATGCGTAGTAGTAGAATTGCTGGGTCATATGGTAACTCTCTGTATAACCTTTTGAAGACCTGCCAGAATGTTTTCCAAAGTGACTGCACCATTTTACATTCCCACTAGCAGTTTATAAGAGTTTATATTTCTCTATATACTCATCAATACTTCCTGTTATTTGTCTTTATGATTTAACCATCCCCCTGAAGCGGTATGGCATTGTGGTTTTGATTTGTGTTTCTCTGATGACTAATAGATGTTGAACATCTTTTCAGATGCTGATTTGTCATCTGTTTCTTCTTTGGAGAAATGTATTTTCTGATCCTTTGCTCATCTTAAAATTGAATTATTTGAACTTTTATTATTGAATTGTAATCATTTTTTATTCTAGATATAAATCCCTTATCAATATATGAATAGCAAATATTTTCTTTCATTTTATGGATTGTCTTTTCACTTTCTTGATGGTATCTGTTGAAGCATAAAACCTTTTAATTTTGATGAAGTTCAATTTATTTATTTCTCTTTTTTGTGACTTGTGCTTTTGGTGTATCTAAGAAGGCTTTGCCTAGCCCAAGATTATGAAAGTTTACTCCTACATTTTCTTCTAAGAACTTTACAGTTTTAGCTCTTAATTTAATTCCACAGTTTATTTTCAGTTAATTTGTGTTTATAGTATGAGGTGGGAATCCAAATTCACTCTTTTGTGTGTGGATAGCCAGTTGTCCCTGCACCAATTGTTGAATTGTCTTGGCATCCTTCTGTTCTTAGAAATAACTTTATTGCCGGGCTCGGTGGCTCAGCCTGTAATCCCGCGCCTTTGGGAGGCTGAGGTGAGTGGATTGCCTGAGCCCGCGGGTTTGAGACCCGCATGGGCAGCGAGACCTCATCTCTACAATAAATCAAAAATCAGCCGGGCGTGGTAGCACGCGCCTATAATTCCAGCTACTCGGAAGGCTGAGGCAAGGATCGCCGGAGCCCAGCAGGTCGAGGCCGGGAGTGACCACTGCACTCCAGTCTGGGTGACAGTGAGATTCCAACTCAAAAAAAAAAAAAAAAAAAAAGATATAACTTTATTACCAAAGGCAGGCCCAAACTTTACCTGAGTATTTGTGTACCTAATCCTGAATTGTACCCCATCTTTAAAAATAAACAAATAAATAATTAAAAATCTAAAAGAAAAAGAAGTAACTTTATTAGATATACTATGATATTCCATTTGTAGTAATTCCTCTAAGGGCTGAGTTTTCTTTATTTTTGAATTGACAGTCTTACTCTGTTGCCCAGACTGGAGAGCAGTGGCATGCTCACGGCCATCCACTGCAGCCTTGACCTGCTGGGCTCAGATGATCCTTCCACCTCAGCTCTCCAATAGTTGCAACTAAAGGTGTGTGCCACCTTGCCTGGCTAATTTTTCTTGACATATTGTAGACACAAGGTCTCACCAAATTGTCCAGGCTGGTCTTGAACCACTGGGCTCAGGCAATCTTCTCTCCTTCTCCTTTCAAAGCTACCATTGCCTGACTAAGGACTGAGTTTTCAAAACATGCTTTATGGGATATGAATCTCAAACACAATTTACAAAGAAGTTTTGGTGTTGTAGAACAAAGTTGATAAAAGTGTAAACCCTGTCATTGTTTTTCCAGGATAGCAGCCAGATTCATTATTTTGGTTATTTATGTTCCTCCTTTGAGAACTATATGTTTGAAAAGTATAAAGCCTTTATTTCCTGATATATGGCACATACATATGTTTTTGCGTTATGAATTTAGTTATATGAGACATTTGTTGAATGATTTTTAAAGAATGAACTAAAATAGTGTCTGCTGAGCAAGACTTGATGTGTGGAAAGTAATTTTATGATGGAAATATAAATTATTACTAAAGCACAATTATAGGCCACCAAAATGAATGATTATTGTCTTGTACATGTTGAAATACCTTCAGAAAGACTGTGACAGTGAAGTGTGGTGAATGGAAGTTAAGGCTGGCAGTTATTTCTCTAATTATTTCACAGTAATTTGTATGCAAGTTGGGCTTGGATAATGGAGAGGCCCTAATGCGAGACTGAGACGTTTGAACTTTCTGTATAGGCAGGAGGACCCTTTTAACCTTTTTTAATTAGGGGAAAATTAATAGAGCTATGCCCGGGGAGATAAAGTTGGCAGCAGATGAGTGGTGAGAAAAGGGAAGGTGATCAAAGTAGGAAGGCAAGTTAAAAGAAAAATGTATTCTGGACAGGAAGTATTGAGGACTTAAAGAAGTACAGCAGCAGTGGAGATGGAAGAGTGGGGAACTGTTAAAAATGCTGGTGACACGCTTGCAAAATATGGGCTTAGTGTCAGCAGACGTATGTCTCTGTGTAACCTGGCTGAATCACTTAGCCCCTTGGGGGCTTCGGGCTCTCCCAACAGTAGAGATCAATAAGACAAGCATATTTCAAGCATTTTTAAAAAATGCTTATGACAAATGCACTTTCCAGGTCACACTCTGGACTGAGTGAATCGGAATCTCCTAGGTATAGTGACTTGACAGCTGCCCTTTTAACAGGCTCCCATTGGTGATTCTTGTGTCTTCATCTGTTCTTATTAATATTGTGTGTATTAGGTGATATGAAGGTAGAATTCAGTAGACTGGCAACTTATGGTGTACTCGGGAGACCTTTGTGTGCCTGAGAGAATGGTAAAGCTGTTTTAGAGGATTGAGAACTAAGGAAGGAGGAAGGGGGAAATATTTGAAGGTGTAGAGAATGCATTCAGTCTGTCATGTATCTGATTTGACTTGGCAGCCGAATAGCTTGTGTAGTGGGATTGAATTGGTTGGGAATGTAATATGGTTACTCAGGAAAAGAGGGCAGTGAATAAAGAATGTGGTTTTTAAAAGTAGATTTATGAGTATCTTTTCCCCATGAGAAGATACTGTGTCATCTATTTGCTGATTTAAGTCTACTCTGTTATTGGAAACAAATATTTGGGTGTAAAGAAGTAGCTATACTCAGAAAGAAACCAGGGATCTGACTTAGTCCAAGTTTTCATAATAGAGCTGTGTCCCTTGACACAAGTTCTAGAAATGCTGGGACCTAGGGCAGCAGCCCACATAATTTTGTTGTCTGATCAAACCTGGTTAAGGCTGTCTGAGAAAGGAGTTAAGTTGTGCATAAACACTATGTCAGAGGACACAAAATAATGAAAAGGGAAGTACCACTGTCTAGGTCCTTGTTAGCCGAAATTGCTGAGGTATGACTGGGTCTGTCTGTGGAAGTATGAGTATGCCTCTTCTCCTACTTATTAGGATTGTTACACTGTCTTTTAAAGAGGTGGTTTAATTTTGTTACTCTGCACTGTTTTTGGTTCTTGGTTAGCACCAGCAACACATGTTTCATGCATCAAATTCAAAAGGCAGCCTGTCTCAGGTTAAAATGGTAGAGATTTTCTAGACCCAAAGGCCCTCAGAAATAAGATTCTGTGCATTTGGTCTTCATAATTTTAAGTCACTGTTTTTCTGAGGGTCACAGCTTCAATCAGTAGGTATTTGAATGGTTATAAGTACACATCATCTAGGTGGTGTGTTTGAAAGAAAGAGAGAAAGCCTTTGTCTTCAAGTATTTGCGCAGTCTAGTTGAGAGAAAGAAGAATACATAACAAATGACTAACAAACTTCATAGTCACATTATTTTAACTCGCTGCTGCTTATACCTGGGACGTCAAGGTGTGTACTTCTGTGGCCATACCCAGGGTCTTCTTACTCTGAAATAATGAATTCACTCACCTCATTCTGACTGCAGTCCCATGTCATTGCAACTTTCACTAAAAGTTACTCTTAAAACATCAGTTTTTTGTCTCCATTGGAACCTCTGGTCCAAAACTTATTTACTTCTTGCTTGTCTCTATGGGTTTCAGCTTTGATGCTCACATTTCAGCCACTCTTTCGTCAGCATCTTCAACTTCTTTAGTTAGTCATCCTTTAGTTTCTAGCAGAATCTCAAGCTCAGGTCAGATCAGCTGCCTGTTTTGTTCATCCCTGTGCTAGGGCTATTGAGTTGCTGGGGAAACCAATCCCCCATGTTACTATGAAAACTCGCACAGCTATCAACATTGCATACCAATCCTACTGTCTCCTCGTACTCTCTCCCATTGTCCACATGAACCATTTTAGACATTCTCTGTGTGTTTCAGACCTCTGAGCTTTTTACCACCTTACTTCCTCACAATAATTGACCCTACCTCCAGCAACACAGAATACAACTCCCTTCACCTCCAGCCTTCAAACCTGTTAGCTCACCTAGCCTTTACTCTTTCTCTCCTGTTATAATGGAAGAGGCATCCTGCCCATCTAAGCATATCAGTCTACCTAAATCACATGTCCTATTTTCTTAGAGATCAAAAAAGCTAGAGACTGAAGAAAGGGAGAGTTATTAGGGAAAAGCTGTTTTTGTAGTGAATGGATTGTTTTTAAAAAAAAACACATAAATTGGGGACATTAGGCAGAATAGTTACATCTTTGACAGCAAAAGGGAAGTTTAAGAGAGATGTGGTGATGAAATTTATTTTGACAGCAGTTAGATTTCTTCAGAAGTTACTGTGGCATCCAAGTCCCTGTGGGATTTGTCTCTGTGTGTCAATCTCTTGTGAATATTGAGGAAGGTACAGGCTGAGGGGAACCTTTTTCTCAAGCAGCATTTATTTCGTACTCTCCCCTTGTTATGCCAATATTTTCTTAACAAGAACTGATGATAAGCCTGTGTGGTAGAATTTCCACCAACTATTTCTATGGGTTAAAGGAACTATAGAATACCATTCATTAAACTAGAAAAATACTCTCTCTCTCTCTCTAGAATCTCTGAAAGCTTGGCATTAACTGTACTTCATACAAAAGAGTTATTTTTGTTTTATTGGTTTTTTTTTTTTGAGTTGGAGTTTCACTTTGTCTCCCAACTGCGGTGTAGTGGCAGCACATTCACAGCCACCCCAGCATAGACCTGCTGGTCGCCGGTGATCCTTCTGTCTCAGTCTTGCAAGTAGCCAAACTACAAGCGTGTACTACTGCTCCTGGCTAATTTTTTATTTATTGTAGAGGTGAGGTCTCTCCAAGTTGCCCGGGCTGGTCTCAAACCTGCAGGCTCAGGCAATCCAATCGTCTTGGGCTCCCAAAGTGCTGGGATTACAGGCTGAGCTACCGAGCCTGGCCTTTTCATCTGTTCTTATTAAGCCTTTAGAATAACTTCTCCAGCTAGAAATGAGCAAGACAAAAAGAGTATTTCTATGTAATATTAAGAATGACCCATATCCCTTAAGATGTGGATGGGGCAGGGAATATACAAATAGAAAATTGAACAAGTAAAGGCAATTTTTATTTTTTCCAACTTTAGTAGGTTATTTTAAAATAAATGACGTTATTTAATTTTATATTGATATAGGTAAAGCTGGCATATAAAAGGTTTATAAGTGTGGAGTCTCTTCTCCTGTTGGCTAAAATTCTGAAGCTCAATCCAAACCATATATCATGACTACTTATACATTGTGTTTTTATGTTTTAGGAACCTGATTGCTGACCTTCAGCGTGTTCATTATGAAGTTATTAGTAATACTTTTGCTTTCTGGACTTACAACTGGTTGCAGAGGCAACTCTTCCTCTAGTTTGCCACCCAAGTTACTACTGGTGTCCTTTGATGGCTTCAGAGCTGACTATCTGAAGAATTATGAATTTCCTCATCTTCAGAATTTTATCAAAGAAGGTGTATTGGTAGAGCATGTTCAAAATGTTTTCATCACAAAAACATTTCCAAACCATTACAGTATTGTGACAGGCTTGTATGAAGAAAGTCATGGCATTGTGGCTAACTCCATGTATGACACAGTCACAAAGAAGCATTTTTCTGATGCTGATGACAAAGATCCTTTTTGGTGGAATGAGGCAATACCTATTTGGGTAACCAATCAGCTTCAGGGAAACAGATCAAGTGCTGCTGCCATGTGGCCTGGTACTGACGTACCCATTCACAATACCATATCTTCTTATTTTATGAATTATAACTCCTCAGTGTCATTTGCGGAGAGACTGAATAATATTACCATGTGGCTAAACAATTCAAACCCACCAGTCACCTTTGCAACACTCTATTGGGAAGAACCAGATGCAAGTGGCCACAAATATGGACCCGAAGATAAAGAAAACATGGGGAGAGTGTTGAAAGAAATAGATGATCTTATTGGTGACTTAGTTCAAAAACTCAAAATGTTAGGATTGTGGGAAAATCTTAATGTGATCATTACAAGTGATCATGGGATGACCCAGTGTTCTCAGGAAAGACTGATTAACTTGGATCTCTGCATCAATCATTCAGACTACACACTTATAGATCTGAGTCCAGTTGCTGCAATACTTCCTAAAATAAGTAAGTAAGCTTTTAGCTGAGGGATACTATTATTTGAATGGAAAAGTAATTGAGGAGCGATGTTTTTATAAAAGAATGAAGCTCTGACTTTTTGTCATTTAGGACCATGTACTCATACTTACTCAGAGTGGGATTATATATTTATCTCCCTAGTTTACAAGTTTTTAACAATTTGCTTATGGCTTAGGTTCAAAGTGATTATTTCTTTTTTTTAAATATATATTTCTTAATCATTCACACTAGTGGAAAAAGGACATTTTTATCCATAAATATTTTGGATTAGTGTGAAACATTTAGTCGAGTTAGTGTAAGTTGCCTTTCTTCTACTGATTGAAGACTTAGTAATTAATAGTAACATGCAGTTTATGCTTATCTAGGGAGCTAGGCATGAAAATGCTCCCCTTTCTATAAAAGTCCACCAGAGTAATCAATAAGGGTAATCCATAAAGTGAAACAGAGATAAGTGAATGCTTGTGAAAGGTGTGTGTATCAGTCTCCAATACTGTCACATTATTATTGCTCTGGTTTTTTTTTTGTTTTAAGAATTAGGTGATTTGGCCGGGCTCGGTGGCTCAGCCTGTAATCCCAGCGCTTTGGGAGGCTAAGGTGAGTGGATTGCCTGACCCTGCGGGTTCGAGACCTGCCTGGGCAACTTGGTGAGACCTCATCTCTACAATAAATCAAAAATTAGCCGGACGTGGTAGTGCGCACCTGTAGTTCCAGCTACTTGGAAGGCTGAGGCGGAAGGATCGCCGGAGCCCAGCAGGTCGAAGTTGCAGTGGCCCGGCCACTGCACTCCAGACTGGATGACAGAGTGAGATTCCAACTCAAAAAAAAAAAAAAAGAATTAGGTGATTTAATAGATGACGTCCAGAATTTATTTCCAGTTATGCTAGTTAGACATATTATTTTCTTATCGGTCAACTATAACTTTTTTCTTTTGCTATTTCCTTTTTCTTCCAGATAGAACAGAGGTTTATGACAAACTGAAAAACTGTAGCCTTCACATGAATGTTTACCTCAAAGAAAACATTCCTAACAGATTTTATTACCAACATAATGGTCGAATTCAGCCTATTATTTTGATTGCTGATGAAGGCTGGACAATTGTGCTGAATAAATCATCACAAAAATGTAAGTATTTAGGATATTTGTATAGTATCCTAGGGACAAATCACACACTGTGACACTGTTCTGTTAAGATGGTACTTTGACTTAGAGATATTTGCACAGAATAATTAGTTCTGCTCTCAGCTAGAAAATTCTCAAGTCTTCATCTGATAGTTTACAGTAACTACAATTTCACCCTTAGATTTGAAGGATGGGCAGCCTTAACAGTGAAAGTGTAGTTTTGTTTCTTACCCAAACCATGATTACTGTTAGTAATTTTGAAGAGTAGTTCTCTTGATTTATAGAAAATCAGAGAGAAGTAAAGAAACAGTAAAGGGGGAGAGATTAGCTAGTTCAAATTCCTTTTTCTTGTGTGTGTCCAAGTAACCCTAAAAAAAAAATGTGTCCAAGTAACCCTAAATTTTTCCTCAAAGAGGAAATCATTTATCTGAATGCTACAACTATTTCGAACACTGGGCAAGAACTAGAAAGTAAACAAACAAAAAAATCCATTAAATAAATAAAATAGATGTGTCAAAAATCTGTCTCCAAACTGAGATAATGTATAAGGAAGAATTGCGGGTCTTGCCTCAACTGAAGTTTTTATCTGTCCATATTTTACATTCAATTTGAATTCTTTTTTAAGAAAATCTGATTTTGTAGTCCATAGCAAGATTCAGCAAGCTTTTTTTGTAAAGGGCCAGATAGTAAATATTTTAGGCTTTGTGGACCAGCTGGTCTTTGTCTGAGCTGCTGAACTCTGCCTATATAGTGTGAAAGCAGCCATAAACAATAGGTAAACAAATTGAAGCATGGGTTTCAGTGAAATTTTGTTTACAAAAACAGGAGGGCTGAACCTGGCTATGGGCTGTAGTTTACAGTTCCCTGACCTATAGCAATTCAGAAGCATCAGGCAAGGGTAAGATGACTCAGGGTCAATGAGTATATAATTTATATTTTGCTAATATTATATACTCATTGTTAAAAATTTTTGAAAATATAGAAAAACATAGAAAAGAAAACAAAAACCATCCATAATCCCTCAATGCAGAGATACAGGCAAATGTTGGTTGTGATTCTAATCCTTTTTCCATTGCACATACATGTATATTTTAATATTACTGAAATCATACCATTTATACGTATTGTTATATTCTGCTTTTTTGTCATATGTCATATTCATTATTTTTATTATGAAATATTTCAAGCATACAACTGAAAAATAATGTAACAAACATCAATATACTCACCACTCAGTCACCTGCACTTAATATGAAAGTGGAAGCTTATTAAATGCAACTGATCTACATGAAAAGGCAGTATTTCTTAAAATAAAACTAAAAATAGGAAATTTGGAATTGGAGTTATATCAGGGACTATAACATGTTTTTCTTTGAGTCTAACTTTCACTGGTGTTCCATGTTAGAGTCATCTGGTTAGACTTTACATTCAATACAAGAATCCCTCCTGTAACATTTTCATTTATCTGACCCTCCTGATGATGGAGTGTTTACTATCAGTAAAGCAGTAGTACATTACATCTTTTACTTCTTACCCCAGGGGCACTGAGATTGGTAAGGCTGTAGATTCACTTTTCCCCTGTTCAGTGGTCTTACTTCTGCTCTCCCTAGTCATAAGGACCCTCAGCCGGACCGCTGTCCTTATCCAGTGCTATTTGCAGTGAGCTTTTGCTAACAGTGCTGGAGTTAGGCAAGTGAAGTAAGTGGGACTAGGACTGAAAGATAAGTACATCAGGTTAAGAAGTGTTAAAGTTTGAGACCGTGTGTGTGTGTGTGTGGAGAGAGAGAGAGAGAGAGACAGAGACAGAGAGAGACAGAGAGAGACAGAGAGAGAGAACATGGCTGAATTGAAGAAATAGAAATTTGGATTTCTGGCCCATCTTGTCTGGTCCACTTAACCACGGCATTAAGGTATGGGAATTAGACTGGCTAGAATCTAGTGTATATATACTAGAAGCAAGTTATTTTGTAATAACAAGTCTGATTTTATTGACTAGCATCATTTTGTTCTTTTTCAGTAGGAGACCATGGTTATGATAATTCTTTGCCTAGCATGCATCCGTTTCTAGCTGCCCATGGACCTGCATTTCACAAAGGCTACAAGTACAACACAATTAACATTGTAGATATTTATCCAATGATGTGCCACATCCTGGGCTTGAAACCACAACCCAACAATGGAACCTTTAGTCATACTAAGTGCTTGTTAGTTGACCAGTGGTGTATTAATCTCCCAGAAGCCATTGGGATTGTCATTGGTGCACTCTTGGTGTTAACCTCGCTGACGTGCCTCATCATATTCATGCAGAATAGACTATCTGGACCTCGTCCATTTTCCAGACTTCAGCTACAAGAAGATGATGATGATCCTTTAATTGGGTGACATGCCGGAGTTTACACAAAGTGTCTTTGATCCATCACAAAACTAAGAATAGTTTTGTTAACTATGAAAAAAAAATACTTTGAGAGACAAAGAACTTGACTAAGCATGCTATAGTAATAATAATTATTTTTCCCCTTGTGTTTTGTTTTTGGTGCATTTGCTAATACAAATAACCCTGATGATAGCAAAATGACTAGTAAATCATTAGTTAACACCATCTATTTCTCTAAGTAGAAATACTAGAAATAAATTTCGAGAAAAATACTCTCTTTGCTTTTTTTTGCAATTAAGATGTGATACATCTTTAAATGAACATATACCAAAATTAGTAGGCATGCTTTTCTGATAAACTTATATATTTGTAAACAAAGCAACAGAAATCTTTATGTAATTTGTGAATTTTGTGTATCAGGGAGGAAAAGTTTTTTATATTTTTATATTTACCTTTATTAATTTGTATCCCAACTAACCTTTTGAGATAGTAAATTCTCTGTGGTGGTTAACCAGGGAGAAAAGACCTAGCATATGAAAAAAAATTTTTTTTTTTTTTTAGTTGGAGTCTCACTCTATTGCCCAGGCTGGAGTGCAGTGACACACTCACGACCACCCCAGTGTCGACCTGCTGGGCTCTGGCAATCCTTCCACCTCAGCCTTCCAAGTAGTCAGAACTACAGGCGCACACTACAACACCCAGCTAATTTTTTGATTTTATTATAGAGACGAGGTCTCACCAAGCTGCCCGGGCTAGTCTTGAACCCATGGGCTCAGGCAATCCACTCGCCTCAACCTCCCAAAGTGCTGGGATTACAGGCTGAGCCTCCGAGCTGGGCCTGAAAAAACATTTTAAGGAGAGCTGTTAAAAACAAACAAAACAACTAAGACCATGTGATAAAAGCCTGAGTTGTCACCATTGTGTCTTAAGGTGTTGAAGTCTCAAAAGCTGTATCTTTTGAAGATTATTGTTAATAAGAAATTCAGAAGAAAATAAGAAAAACAATTTTCTCCATGTATGGTTAATGCCTTTGTGTAAATTATTTAGTTGTGTGTATATGCACATGTGTGTTTGTGTGTGCGGTTGTACAGATACTGTGTGACTGATTGCAGAAGGAGGTTGGAGATGGGCTGTGGCCAAGCTTCCATATTCCTGAAGAATTGCAGCTCTCAGGAGAGGTTATTTTGCACTTCAAATTTGTTTACTTTCTCCTAACTCAAAGTTAAAATCATAACCTAAATTTATTAATTTTTGTTATCATTTAGCTTTCTCATGTGATTGTAACCTAGTATACTAAGCGATGCAGAAAAATTTATGACATGAGTATAAATCTGAATTTGGGGCAATATGAGGAATGGAGATTTTTGTATTTACTTTTAGGGCTTTATGCCTTGCTTTTTAGGCTATAGAATAGTTAATTTTAAAACAGAATTTAGTATTTTTTTAATCTTTTACATAATTCATGTGTTAAGTGGCAGTATAGCCTTAGTGCTACTTCTGCTTTTTTTCTCCAGTGTTTGTGTCACAGAAATAATCACTTTACTCCTGTCTCTTTTTTTCACTCTACTCCTGTGTTTTTGTTATTTTTTTTTGAGTTGGAGTCTCACTCTGTCGCCCAGACTGGAGTGCAGTGGCCGCTCTCGGCCACCGCAGCCTCGACCTGCTGTGCTCCGGCGATCCTTCCACCTCAGCCTTCCAAGTAGCTGGAACTTCAGGCGCGTGCTACCACATCTAGCTAATTTTTGATTTATTGTAGAGATGAGGTCTCATACTCCTGTCTTTTAACATGTTTGTTCAGAGCCAAGGATTTGCTATGAAGAACTCACCCACCTTTGCTAGGTGGTAGCTTCTAATAATCAAAGTTAATATGAAGGAACTGAGTTGCAGAAGACTAGATTATATTTATTACAGGAAAATTTGGGCCTAAGAGCAATTCATCAGGACCTGAGACAAGCAATTAATATTGTGCTTTTTAAAGTTTGATGGTATAAAATATATATGGTAACTTTTGCAAATATAAAACTGATCTGTAATAAATAAATAGGCAAATGTTTATGATCTGTGATGGTAAAGAACAACAGTGGTGCCAGTCATCAAATATAGAATGTGTCCTGCTGAGTCACTGCTGATTTCTTGAGCCTGGTATTTAGTGCCTGTTGTATTTGGATTCTTGAGAGGCATTTCTATACCCTACCTAAATAACCCATGCTGTTGGTCATAAATTGACTATATTTTTAAAAGCATTAAAAAAATGAAAACCAATAGACCAAGATTTGCTTTTGGACAAATTTTTTTTTTTTCAGATTTTTTTCCTCATATGAAACAGTTATCCAATGGTAAATAGTTGATCTGAACAAAATAATAGAAAGGTTATTTTCTGCTTTAAGGCATATTTTTTAAAAAAGAATGGAACTGACACATATAAGCTTTTAAAAAAAAGTAGTGGACTTTTTTGAAGTCTAAAATAGTAGCAGAATATTTTATACTTGATGGTGTAAGTTTTAGTGATTTCATTAGCTTGATTGGTGGTTATGAGTTTCAGAAATCTACCCATGACATTTAATCCATGAATGGATTTATATAGGATGGTATAGGAAGGAATGTCCTGTCAATGTCTTAACCCTTTCAACAAAACATTTACCTGTCTTGTCTCTCCTTCCATTATCAAAATGTTAACTTTAATTTTAAATCCAGTAAATGTTTTAAGGTATATGTTGATGGGATGAAGATAATAGTATTTATTTTATCAAGGATACATATATTTTATACTGAACTTTGTTAGTTCAGTTATATCTTTTGAAAAGTTATCACTGTAGTACACTTAAAAGAGATAGTAAAACTAGACTTTTACATTAAGGTTTTGGTGTGTGTTTTGTTAAATAATTTTATTTTTTTTAAATGTGGGCAGCGCTCCTCCCACCCCGCCCTCCTCCCCCTTCCCCTACACCCCTGCCTCCCCCGCTACCCCCGCCTTCCCGCCTCCGTAGCTACAGCCAGCGGCCCCCAACCCCGGCACCGGACTTGTTAAGTAATTTATATGCTGCTGTTTTCTGGGTGACAAAGTATTTGGCTTTAAGAAACATTTAATTGTTTATGGCAATACTCCAAGGTAATAGGAAAACTTTTGATTAAGTTGTTTTGTTAATTCAGTGAGAGTATTAAGAATAGGTACATTTATGTATTACATGGGATAGTGCTGCTGCTGTTATTAATGTACAAGTTCTGGTAACCACAATAGAATTTTTTTAAAAAGTCTATGCTCTGTGTTACAGGCTTTATATTATTATTCCATTGGGCTTGGTATAAGCATTTGTAGGTAAATTCTTGGAACACTAAAGGATTAAAATGCTTTTATATTGTTTTTGGGCGTCTCTCTCTTTTGCCCATATCTGATAAGCTTTAAGGATGATTGCACTTAATTCCTTTTATTTGGAAGGTCTTATTTCATTGTTAACACATAAAGTTATAAACAAAGGACAAAGAGGAGATGAAAAAATGTGGTATTGTCAATTCTTAAAATAGTGTGTAAATAAAATGAGTGCTTTAAAGAAATTTGTATGTAGTGCCTTAAAATATATTTTGACTATATTGTTTGAATTCATAGGTAATGACTTTGTTCATGATTTTTAAAATTTATGTGAATAAAATCTACCAAAACATTCTTACTGCAATTATTAAATATAAAGTTTAGTGTCATTGGTGATTTTTTAATTTGTCACCTACTTGCAAAATATGCATAGTATAATAGATGTTGACATGACCTAGTAATATTACAAAACCCTTGTAGGTGTTTATTTTTTAAAAAACCCAGATTGAATGTATAAAATTGGACCAGAATTTTAAATCAGTGTAGTTTATAATTTAGCATAAAGATATCATTGGAAAGAAAGCCAAGATAATTGTGTGTGTGTGTGTGTGTGTGTGTGTGTGTGTGTGTGTGTGTGTCAGGGCCTCACTCTGTTGCCCAGGCTGGAGTGCAGTGGTAGGATTATGGCTCATCGCAGTCTCAACCTCCTGGGATCAGGCAATCCTCCCGTCTCAACCTCCCAAGTATCTGGGGCCACAGACATGCACCACTGCGCCTGACTTTGATTTTTTGTAGAGATGAGGGCTTGCTATGTTTCCCAGTCTGGTTTCAGACTCTTGGACTTGCAATCCTTCTGCCTCGGCCTCACAAAATAGTGGGATTACAGGTGTGAAACACTGCGCCTGGCCCAACATAAATTTTGAAGATGCTTCAGAACTGTAATTTATTTGCTTATGGTAGAAGGGAAAAAGTTTGACGAAGTAGATTACAAAAAAACAGGGTGGGAGACCCATTATAGCATTTAAGCTTTGTACGTAGCCATAAATATTTAGTGACTTGTCCTTTTGACTATGGATTCAACAAAAGTCCCCTCTAGTAGACCAACGGTTAGTTCATTTCCTGTTTTTATATTCAGTAAATACTACTAGTAGTCCTGGGAAAAATAGAAGAATAAAAGTTCCTTTCTTTACACTGAAAGAATTTTTTCAAAAGGGGTAAAACTTTAAAGCAACATAATATTATGGTTTAACTGATGCTGGTGAGATCCTTGGATCCAGAATTATTTATCTAGGCCCTGTGCTTCCTGAAATTTGAATGTCAGCTCCACCTCTCTCTCCCCTGCCCCTGGCCTCCTTGGTGCCAGTATTTGAGGATCATTACCCGCTCCTCTCCACCTGTGCTTCCCCCCCCCCCGACCTCCCAGGCCAGTGAACACATCCACAACCATTGCTTGAAAAAAATGTGTGAGACTCACTGATCCAATTAGCTTCTGGGGTCCTGTCACAAACATTCTGATCACAATATACGTATATATATCATGTATCCTAATGTGCATGTGTGTGCAGGTGGATGTTGGTGTTGAAAAAACTAGATCCTCTGACTCATGTCCTATGGTCAAAATACTCGGGAGGTAAAAGCAGGGCCTCTGCTCAAAGAGCAAGCCAAACTGCTATGCTAGTCAACATACCTTCTTTTATTCTCCAAAATCTCATTTCCACTGTCAATAAAAAATCTAGTGAGTTCTTCTGATGGCTCCAGTTATAGATACGTGTCTCCAGTCCAGGCCTCCCTCTTGTGTTAAAGATCTGAATTGCTAGTCACCCAATCTGCATTCTGCTCTAATCTACTGTGCTCAAACTCACTTTTATAAACGGGTGATAGAAGCAATGAAAATTAACCCCAAAACAAATCTAGATAACCCCACTATACAGAGACACGTTTTATAAAGGAATTCTTATAGGTCAGGCACAGTACTATTGATTTACACATAGTTTGAAATGTCTATTAAGGTGAGTGAATTTGATTTTTACACTCAAAATTTCTGTGAATACTCTTCTCACCTTTAAAATAATCGTGG